GCCTGGAACTGTCCTACAGACAGCAGAGCGTTTGCCACATGTCAGTTGTTCTACTGGAATGAGAGAGGAAGACAATTTTTTAAAGTGCAAAGTACAGCTACTTCCAGCAATTCCCCCTCTGCCTGACAAGGTGACCTCCACCTTACCAGTCCTGGTTATGGTGTGCTCAGGCAGATTTCAGAGTGTCCTTTAACATGCTCTGCTGTGTAGGCATTGAGCTGTGAATGCACACATGAGCTGGGCCTTCTGGAAAAAAATGGGTATTAATTTTACTTTGACTATTTCCCTTCCATCCAGTGCCTTTGCCATGCCCCTTGACCTGTGCAGCAACTGCCAATTAACAAAATGGCTTTGAAGAGAGCTGTCTTCCATCTTTCCTCCCTGGGGGAAAGAGGGGGGAGCTGAGCATGTGCTCTGGGGGCAGTCGGCAGTCCAGCAGGGCCCAGTTCTTGTTTGTCCCCTGGCCACACTGAGCCATGAGTCCCACTTCCTCACTCACCACTGTGTGGCCTTAGCACAAAGGAGAAGCAAAGCAATGGTTTGATCTCCCGGGTGGAAAGCAACATGGGGCTGTGCTTACAACTGTGACAAAAATCTTGTTTATTTCTGGAGATTTTTATAATTATTCACTGAGCTATGTAGTGCCTCGGGAGCTGGATGTCACAGCAAGGCAGTACGTCAGTAGCAGACAGTCAGACCCAGGGATTCTTTAGGAAAAATCTGGTTTCTATTTTTTGCCAGGTCACAAGTCTGGCAGCAGCACCACGAGCAGGGGATGTCGGGTACCCAAAATGTGCTTGTGGCGGTGCTGGGCTTTTGGGTCAGCCACGCTCTGGCAACCCCTGGTCTGTGTGTGTTGAATGAGAGCTGCTTGCAAGAGCCCAGGTTCAGGCCGTGCATGCTGGCAAGCGGCCTGCCCACGCAGCAGTGCCGGTGGCACATGTGCACCTCAAGGCAGTGCAATCACCTCCCTCCCAGGCAGGCAGCCTGCTGAGCTCGCTCATCTCTCCTGGTCTGCTTTTTGCTGCAGGCACTGCAGGGCAGAGCGCAGCCTGCGCAGAGCCCATCCAGGCAGGAAGAGGCCCTGACCTGAGCTCTGCTCTGCTCTGTGGCTGCAGCTGCCTCTCCCTCCTTGGAGAATGAGATGTTAAGGAGATTTTGAGAATGATCAGACCCTTCAGCTTCACTAGTGTTAATCAATCACAGCTGCTGCTTTCCGGCTCCATATTTTGATGCGTTTCAGGTTGTTCCATAATTAGCAGCCCAGTTCAGGGCCAGTAAACACATTCCGAAGCCCTGGCAGGGTGCTGGGATGGAGCAGAGGCTGAATTTTCCAGTGCTGCGCTTCAGACAAAGCCGGGGCTGTCCAAGTCTATCAGGGAGAGCTGTGGGGAGCTATTCCTTTTTGCTTGGCACAAAGGAGGGCAGTAAAACATTACTCAGACTTGCCATTATTTTCTGCAAGGGGAATTTTGCTGGGAAGCATTTCTGTTTGGGGAGCCTTGAAGCGCACCACCCCTGAGCTGTGTGGAGTCAGTGCCACGGGGACGCTGCCAGGCTCTGGGAGAGCATTTGGGACGCTGCAGCCCCAGGGGAGGGAACGGCCCCACGCAGTGCAGGAGCCAGGGCAGCTGCTCTCCGTGGTTTATTTAAGGGCTCTTACCCCTGGTCCTGTGCGGTGGTTTGCTGCTTTGCTCCCTCTGGGCTGGCTCACCGTTTCCCCAGCCTCCCTGTGTTTTTCAGTACAGCAATGTATCACAGTGCCTTGAGGCTGCTGCTGGATGCTGGTGCCTGGCTTTTCCCAGCAGCAGCCTCGTGCCCCTTTCTGGGGGCTGAGAGGTGGGCAGCCTCGGTGGCTGCTTCCTGAGTCCGGGAGCTACAAGAAAACCCAAAGAAAGGGGGTTAGCGCTCCTTGATAGATGAGGGAACGTGCCGGGTGTTGGGAGGGTGCAGCTTGAACAATTTCAAAAGAGTTATTAATTTGTAAGTTATTTCTAAATTTTCTTATGCTGATGCTGCCATTAAAAGAGAGCATGTGATGCTCCTGGGAACTAAGTAATCCTTAAAAAAAAAAAAAAAAAAAAAAAAAGGAAGAGATTTAAGAAATATCTCTTCCTGGATGGCAGGTGCAGGTGTATCATTGCAAATATTGTCTGATCTGCCCTTCTTAGCACTGAAGTATCTGAGGCTCCAGGTGGCAGCTCTGAGGAGTTTGTGTCAGTTTTGGAGGCTTAGATGCATGGCTTAAACCCCTAACTGTTAAGGAGCATTTGCAGCTAAAAAGCCAAACAGGATCGTGAGGCATCACAGCTTGAACAGTTTGTAAAACTACTGCCAGGCAGATTAAGCTGGAAATAGAAAAATTGCTGGTGAGGTCCTTTGGGTGATTTAAAGAGCATTTTACTTCTTAGGTGAGTGTTCCAGACACCCAGCAGCAAAAGTGCAGCAATGTGGCTCAGCCACTTTGTACAAGCAAAATCCCTGAGACCTTCTAAAAAGTGTGGTTAACAGAAACAAATCAAACTAAATCAACTTGCTTCTTAAAGGCACCACCTTGCTGAGACCATCAGTTACACAGTGTGAGGGATTGGAAGGGACCTTGAAAGATCACCCAGTCCGATCCCCCTGCCGGAGCAGGAACACCTCCATCAGGTCACGCAGGAATGCGTCCAGGTGGGTTTTGAATGTCCGCAGAGGAGACTCCACAAACCCACAGACAGCCTGTTCCAGCGCTCTGTCACCCTCCCATTTAAGCGGAACCCCCTGTGTTCCAGCTTGCACCCATTGCACCTTGTCCTGTGACTGGATGTCACTGAGAAGAGTCTGGCTCCGTCCTTACAGCCCCATCATCACAGCTTCACTGCAGGAGCCTGGGCATGCTCGTGCCCCATGTACCACTCAGACCTGGCAGTTGCTCTCTTCCGTATGCAATATATGCTTTCTGGCAAGAAATATTACTTAAGATAGAGCATTTTTATCCGGCTCTGGCAAAGGTGCTAGACAGCAGAGCTCTGTTGTGCGGAATGGCGGAGGTCTGTAATCTCTTTGATTAGCCAAATGTTCACAAAGGGAACAAAGCATGCTCATTTTTACCTGGCTTTGGAAGTAGAGGCATAAAGAAGCCTGTGTCAGCATGCAGGACAAGTGGGTGTGCTGCAGTTCTTCCAGGCCCTCTGCTGCCTTGAGCAGCGCAGGCCTTTGAGGCACTCAGCACGTCGGTCCCTGCGAAGGCGCGTGCCGGGAATAGGGCAGGCAGGGCAGAGCAGAGCAGAGCCACGTTAGCTGCCTTTCTCCTGGCTGTCTGCATGTGCGTCATGGGCTGTAAATATCACCTGCCAGGGCTGGAAGCAGAACCTCTCTGCCCCATCATGTCCTCATTTCCTACTTTGCAAGTGCAAAGGAATTGCCCTGACACGAGCAACGATGCCATCAGACCAGGGTGATTCAGCTCGTCACCTGTGCTGAGCAAACCCTGTTAATTATGGAGCTTTCAGAGCTCTCCATCTTTCTTCTGTCACTCTGTAAAAATTCTGTTCTTTAGATCTTATTTCTCTTGCTGCTTTCCTCCTTGTCGCATCCAGGTGCCCTTCTTACAGAGTAACAGGAGGGATGCTGGTTGGGGGTTACCTCAAAGAGGAATTGGACTGCAGTGGAAAGAGGTGGGCACTGATCGTCCCTGTGGTGGGGGATGTGGGAGGGCAACATCTGCGTTGGTGACGCCAGTGCTTGGGTTTGACGTGATGTAGCAGTCTTGTACGGTGCTGAGGAATGAACTCGTACCACTACTTCACTACACATGTCCTCTAAAACCAAATGGGCTAGCATGTCTCTGCCCCACCTTAATGAATTTTTCTGTCTTGATGAACTGGCAAAAAATGTTTTCAACTTCAGATATTTCATGCAGAAATGAGCAATCACTGCTCCGAGTGTCATTATAACATTGTTGTGTATTTGAGGAGTTCTGATTTTAAATACAAATCAAAATAGCAAGAGATTTCTGATATTTTTAAAGTGTATTTTCTAAGTCTCCAAATTAATTGGCCTGTGAAATACAACAGGAATTACCAGGCATCAAAGAGAATATTTATGAGCTGCTGAGAAGGCAGAGGGATAAACAGCGGTTTGAGGACTACCCTTAGCTTTCTGATACTCTCCCAAGTCTTGTGCAAGCCAAACAGTCTCTGGTCTCAGATGGGCAAAGCTGTGGGGAGGGACTGTGAGCATTCAGAGCTGCCAGTGCTGCTGGTCACCCGTGAGGCACCTCTGGGCTTGGGCACAGTCCCCGGGTCCCATCACACAGGCTCCCTGCAGTGTGTGGGGTCGGCTCCTTGCCGATGCTGCAGCTGCTCCAGCTGGAGAAGCTCCCGTGCTGGCGAATGAGGTGCCTGCCGAGTCAGCCAGGTGGGAGCAGAACCCCCCCGTGGTACCCAGCCAGTCCTCAGCACCCTTTCCCCTTAGGAGCAGAAAGGAGGAAGGGGAGACAATGTCACCTCCAGTTACTGCTTGGGAAAGCTGCTCCTGCCCTTCATCTCTGTGTGCGGGGCTTGCCTCCTGTGGTAGCCCAACGCTACGCGTGGCAGGAGCCTGTGGTGCAAGGTGTGTTTGCTGCATAAACCCAGGGTACTAAAATAAGTGCGTCATCTGCAAAAGTGTGAAACTGGAATTAAATATATTTCCCCTGGAGCCTGCGATATCCTTCACAGCCTCTGCCCTACAAATCAGATTTGCACATCCTTATATTCTCGTAGTAAGGAAAATCCCTCCCAGGTGCTTTGATTTGGGCTGCACCACGTGAAGCTGGGCAGCTCTGCCTCCCCCTGACCTGCCAAGCCTGCCCCAAGACCAGGGCCTGCCTTGGGCCGTGGAAATTGGTTCTGGGGAAGCTCCTGATGATAGTAGGAGCTGGATCCGGAGGGAGGCTGCTGAGGCCAGTGCAGCCTTGCAGAGCACCACAGAGCCAATCGCTGCTGCTAGGGGTGGAGCTGGAGCTCCAGCAGATGATCGCCGAGTGCCTTTCCAGCACAGTTGGTCTGGACGGCTGCGAGATCTGGTCGCGGGGAGAGGAGAGCTGCAATTGCAACTCCAGTGTGCTCCTTCCCCGGCAGCATCGCTGGAGCAGCTGCGATATCCTCTGTGCGCCAGCCCCACCAGCGACACGAAGGTACTGCCCCCTCCCTCCCGGCTTGTGTGCTGCTTGTTGCTTGGATCTGTGTTGATTAGAGTTGGAGGAAAGTTTATTGGGAAATCAGAGCTGTGAGGTAACAGTGCTTGTGGGAGAGCAGTGGGAGGTGATGCGCTGCACTGCCGGGATGAGGTGCCAGGTGCAGGAGGCGGCTGGGGCGGTTTCGGTGCTGCAGGCGCCGCTGCCACAGCAGAGCCTGGGCTCGGGGGCCAGCCTGGCACCCGCTGCGCTGCCCTCGTGCCGCAGGGGGAGGTCAGAGGTGGCTGGCACGCGGTGTGCTCGTGATTCGGATGCCTGCCGGCTGTCAGGGTGCTTTCCTGGTGGTGGTTTTAGTGAGCGAGGCATCCACCTGTTAGCAGGTGGCCAAAGCCGAGCGGGCCCCTTGGCGAGGGCTTCCCCAGTGAGGCAGCTCCCAGGCTGGGTGGCCAGCGGGAACTCGGGGTGCTTTTACCGAAAGGTCTTTGTGCAGCATTTCCCACAGCCCTGCTTGGGAAAGCAAGCTCCTCGGGCTGCAGATGAAAGTGTGGATAGCTGCAGATGCAGGAAAACAGCTTATTCCCTCTGCTGCTTGTGAAGTTTGGAGAACTTCCCGAGCCAGCCCCACTTAGAGAGCAAAAGTGGGTTTCCAGGGAGGTAGCTTGGGGCTGGGGCTGCTGACCCTGGGGCAGCCCCGAACAGGCTCGTTGCAGCAGCCCGCAGGGAAAGCAGCTGCAAGCTTATGCCGGTGGCTGCTGCTGGAGAAGGGGCTCGGTCTGTGTCCCCTGGGGCTGGCTGACCACACGTGTTGCACCAGGGCTGTCCATAGGTCCAAGAGCCTGAGCTCTGTCCGTCCCTCATACAGCACGAGCCAGGTGCCTGCTGTTTGGGGCTGCCTGAAAGATCTTTCGTAATGACCCCTGAGACATCTGAATTGCTGGTGATCCATACCCATTGACTAGTAATACCCGACCTGAGCAGTGCCTGTCAGCTCCTGATGGGATCTCCCTGATCACTGCCCTTCAGGCAGCCACATGCTCCTTTTGCCCTCCTCTGGTGCTGGAGTGACCTTAGTGTGCGTCACTGGGTGCAGAACAAGGTTTGCGAAGCCTTGAGTAGACAGTAAAAAATCACCAGTTTGCATTTTCTGCATGAGGTTGTGCTGTTGGCTCTCGTATGAGCACGTGCTATCCATCTGCAAAACACAAACAACCGTCCCTGAAATGTGAGAGGGGAACGCAGGGGAGCCATGGGGCACAGCTGAGCTGGAGTGGGGTGGCGGGGGCGCTGGGCAGAGGGGGACCTGCTTCAGGCTCTCGTCATTGCACAGGAAAGGGACGGTGATGGGGGTCTCCTGCGGCTTCCCTGGTACTGTGCTGTGGGGTGGGAGTGGCAGTGACTCGATATAAACAATTTTGTAAGAGATATTTTGATAAAGGTTGCTAGACAGTGACTCATCTACTGTAGGAAGGGGCAGAGCAGGAGCTTTTTAGGGTAAAAAAACAAAAGGGTCTTCCCCCCCCCCCCATTTTGTCAGAAATGGTGAGGGCAGGACATTTTTTTATTTTATTTTTTCCCTTCAGGAGAGTAGACCTATCAATCAGAAACCTCCTAACTCCAGTGACCCTGCACCTGCTTTGGTGCCTTCTGCATCTCTTTCCCTGGGGAGGATGCTGCCTTCCCGTCACATCCCTGAGTGGGACTGTGTTCTAAAACTTGGCTTGATTTCCCCCCATCCCAACCGTTTTTTTCTGACCAGCCTTAGTCACTTCTGAGTCACTCCAAATAATTAATCCTTGTCCCTGTGTAGCGGTTAGCCCTGCATTTCTGCCTGTACCTGGCCAACCTGAGTACGCATGTTTCAGAAGTCACTTTACTCTGGTCTGCGTTACCCTGTTTTAACTTTCCTCACAAGTTCCAACCTCCCTCCCTTGTGCTTTGCTGCCCTGCTCTGCTCGCTGCGCTGGAATCACAAAAAGTGCAGAACAGTTTGAACAGTTTGCTGCATCTCCACTTCCTCAGGTGTGCTGAGGTTTCCTGAGCTATTCATGGTGTTGCAAACTAACCCTTCTTGGAAAGGTGTCCTCTATGTGTGTGGAGGTGTTTTGCTGTTATTTGTCAGGATCCGTTGTATTTGCTGCTTCCAGTTTGTAGCAGGATTGCTGCAGGGATGATCCTTGCTGTCTTAGCACCTCGCTCCCAGCTGCTGCAGCCCTGTCCCCAGTGATGCCCCCTCTCCCTGCCCAGAGGTTTATGTGGGAGCATGAATGGCCGGGCTAGCCCAGTTATGGATTTGTGATCTCCCTGTGCAGGGGAATTGCCTGAGGAGCCTGAGGTGTCCAGGCAAGGCCGGCACTGCCAGGGGCTTGTCCTGGCTGTGCGGGGCTGACCAGGGTAGCCTCAGAGCTGGGTGTTATGCCTTATCTGGGTTGAGCTCCTACCGAGAAGGGTGGGACTTGAAACCCAGAGCTGTCTTGGGAGATGAAAAGTGGGCCAATTTCTAGGCCAAAACCTGCCCACCGACATTCCCAGGGTGGATTTGGGTACAGAAATACATAAACTTCAGGGGTCCAATCTCCCTCCTACTGTTCGGGTACCATCCTCTGATGGGTGCAGAGGCAGTTGTCCTCCTGACAGCAACATATGGAAGTTTTATTATTCCTTACAATGTCTGAAAAATGCCCTTTGCTGAAAGGTACAGAAGTCGTGTAGTGCAGAAGAGCCTATCCCAGGAATAGCGGCAGTTTTGGGAAACAAGGGGAAGGTTTTCCCCCAGGCTGTGCCACCTTCTCCTCCATAGCGAAATTTGCTGTATTTGCATCTGCTAAAGGAAGGTTTAATGGAGCTAGGCATTGCTGTGTTGGTTTTGCAGCTGTGACCTTCAGGCAGCTTGTGCATGAGACTGGAGAGATGCTGGCTAAATGGGATGCTGCATCTTTGCCCCTTCCTTTAAGTTCCTTTAAGTTCTCAGGTCTTGTGGCACCTGAGGGCTGCTGAAAGCCCCTTGTGCCCTGGGCAGGCTGCAGCATACACCAATGCCCAAAGGCTCTCCTGCTTCTTTCTGCAGCATACTCGAGCAATTTGGATAAGCGGGTGCTTATCTGTCAGCAGATGTGGGTAAGTTTAGAAAGTCAAGAGGAACTAAATGCCTATTATTCTGGGCTGTGGCTTTTGTAGAAGTTGCGCATGGGAAAAAAAAAAAGGATTTTCTAGAGGTCAGTAATGCTCTGCTCTCTGCTCATGCCTACTCAGCCTGGCTCTTGCAGGAGAGTGTTTGGGTCTTTGCGTTTCTGGTCACCTTGCAACAGATGCACGCAGTGATTTCTGTTCTCACTGCCTTTGCTCCGCATTCTGCTGACAGCTGCATTTCTCCTAAGCTCAGAGGTGTGAATGCTTCTACCTGCCACCACCTTCTACTCCTGCCAAGCAGGAAGATGGCATTATGCAGGGGCTGGGGGGAGCCATGCCATTCACATCGTGTTTTATTAATTAGAAAGAAATAAAGTTGCAGAGAGATCAGATTTTGAGAAAGACCCTGAGTTCCAAAATGCTCCCAGAGGATAGATCCCTAATTGCTCTCTAATTGCATTAGGGTTTAATTTGTTGTTGTTTTTACTGTAATGTTCCCATTTTTCTCGACAGTTTGTTTTGTTCCATTAACTAGAAATGGCTGGAGATGAATATTCTCAATATTAAAACTTGCCTGTTGTGCAATGCTTGACAGCCTTTGTGCTGGCAGGAGATGCCAGCGCTCAGCCCGGTCTGGCTGTCACTGTGTGTGGGGTGAATTCACGCATGCAGTGCAGCATTCACCCCGTGGCAGCATTTTGCCCATGTGTGCAAGGTTCAGTCCTAGGAATTTTCCAAAGACTTGGCAGATCTGGTGACACACAGGGTTGGGGGTTTCTCGTTCCCCAGGGAGCCAGCATCCTGGTGAGCCATCCATCTGACCTGCTGGGGCTGTGCACCCCCCGTTCATCCCCATGTGGTGTGGCGATGGATGCAGGGCCTGGGGCAGGTTACCAAAACGATGCTGGCACCAGGTCCCATGAGGGATGTGCAGGTGGGTGTGTGGTAGATGATGAGGGCCCCCAAGGCAGAGCGGAGCCTCCCACTGGGAGGGATGCAGGGTCCAGCCCTGTCCCCCCATGGTGCCTGCAGGGCGAGGGGAGGCAGGAGGTGGGCTCTGCTGGTGGCTCTGGTCATTATCTGCCTTCCAGGGCGAGGCAAAATGCTGAGCCCAGCTCACCCTGCGGGGCTGGCAGGCAGCAGCACTTCAAAGGGCTCCTTTGATCCGTGCCACTTGTGCAGGGAGGGAGAGCCTGGAAATGCCGGCACAGAGCTGTAGACAGGGCCCTCAGCAACCTGATTTGGAAAGAGGTAGGGAAGGACTCTCTTTAATTCCAAAGCATAAATATGTTTATCTTGACTTGCATAAGGGGAAATGGGGTAGAAGATGCAGTTAAGCTTGGACCTGCTTTTTGCCATTATGCGTTTATTGGTGAAACAAATCCTTAAGGCAGAAGAGTGTTAATAAACCTTTCCAGTGGACCAGCTTCTGCACAGTGAGGCCCAGGAGGTGCCGCTCGCCTCCCCCTTTGATCTGCTTGCTTATAGATCACAGACACCACTGATGTGTGCCCCGACCTGGGCCCTGGCTGCCTGGGAGCTGGGTGCGATGGAGCTGCACGTGTGGCTCATGAAAGTGATATCAGTGCTGGGAGGCACAGGGAGCTGCAGTGTGAACTTGAAACTGCTCCTAAATTTGATCCAGCCGCTTAAAAACAGTGGGTGGACTCGGTGGCAAAGTGAGACATTGGTATTTAAAGCTGTCTTGAAGGGTACAGCTACAGACACGACACACAGCAGCTAGCTGCTAATATTCAGCAGGCACCGGTTTCAAAATTACATAAAGAAAATGGGAAAAACTCCGAACGCTGGATCTTCAGCACCCGGAGCAGCTTGTCAGAAACCCCGGGAATGGGATGGAATTGAACACCCAC